AAACAGCAAACCACATTTTGTTTTATTCCGTACTTATGAGATTTTTTCTGTTTTTCACATGTCGACTGAAGCTTTATGAGGAACTAGAAGTTTCGGATCTGCAGATCAAATATTACTTACCAATGAAATGTAAGGCAAGAACGAAACTGTGGTAATCTGTTGTTATCTGATTGCTCATTACTAATATGTTGATCTTTTGCTTAATGTGAGCTTAGTTGGGATAAATACTCATCACTTCCACAGTCATCTACAATAACTACATAATTAAATGCTTGCTTTGAGCAAGAGCTGTTGTTGTTGAGATGAACAAGGGCCTGCTTTGTTTTTCAGCAGCCGGTTAGATGAGCAGATCAGTGTAGTCGAGGCCACCTTAGGCCGGGGATGATCTCATGCGACAGGATGCTAAATTGAGGTCACGGGCCCTGAGGTCGGAGAGGGAGGGTGGACTGTGTTGATGTCAAAGAGTATAGAGACATTTCTGTGAGGTCGTCTGCATAGTTACAAGACTGTGTGGGCTGACATTTGTCTGTTTGCTGTCTTTCAGAGCTCGATGAACCTGCCTCCAGACAAAGCACGCCTCCTCCGCCAGTACGACAACGAGAAGAAGTGGGATCTCATCTGCGACCAGGTGTAATATCTATTTTGACCTTTGTCACTATATTCTGTTCAATCTGGTCAGTGCTTGCTTATATATAGACACCAGAACAAGCGAAACAGATTTATAAGTCTAGAGCATAATCCACATAAAGGTCTGTGCTAGGCCATTTCCCAAGCTGCAGTTGGCATTATAAGACCACAGGGTTGCGGATCACAGCAGGTTGTGAAACTTAAACAGGTTATAGTGAATGAGGCAATAAGGGACTGTCTTTAATGTATGTTATTGGAATGTGGAACATGTACAGTAAAATCATCTCCCTAAAGATATTTGTTAATGTTTGTCTGACTACCTCTTCTTAAATTCCTCTATATTCTGTGTTAGGAGCGCTTCCAGGTGAAGAACCCCCCACACACGTACATTCAGAAACTGAGGGGCTTTTTAGATCCAGGAGTCACACGCAAGGTAAGATGGAAGTGGCTCTCTGATGACCTTTCACAGATACAGAAAAAAATTTTGTACAACAAAAACAAAAATATCTTGTGGCACCGGGGACAAACCAACTTTTCCTGTTGGGTGATCCTAATTGGTTGATATCTGCTGCTATTTTGCTCTTAATTTTGCCCTGTGCTTCAAAACAGGGTTAAATTCACCTCCGTTTGCTTACACAGTGCACAGTTTTTTATTTTGAGGATTGATGAGCACTTCTATTAAACAATAAATTTGACAAGCGTTATGTATGAGCTCAGTTTGTGTTCTCAGTAGCTTGAATCTGTCATGCAAATTAGTAGGAGATGATGTGGCACCTGGAAATCTTTAGCCACCGAACCTGCATGCTAATCTAGCTAGCTAGCCTAGTTAATTAGCTAGCTAATATTAGCGAGGAACAAAGATGTTATGGTAGTGAGGCACAAAGATGTTTTATGGTAGATTTTACAGGTTTGGCTAGTGTTGAATAGATTGCTGTGACTAATATGTGCTGGTTTGCTGAACTAGCTAACTTAGCTAATGTTAGTTTTGAACAAAATCATGGTTGCTATGGTATATTTTGACAGGTCTGGTCACTATTTTTGGCTGCTACTCATTAAGAATACGTTGCGTATTGTAATCCCGGTCATATCTACTTCTAACAAATGCTTAGTAGTTTACTATGAAATAGTTTGCCAGCTAGCTATTAGGGAAGGCAGCTAGGAAGACATCCAAATAGCATATTCATAAATTTATACATGCTGACATTTTAATAAGGATAAAATCTAGAGATATTCTTATGCATTTTGTAGTATATTGGGCATTGAAACATTTATACCATATTTATTTATACCAAGTGCTGTCGAATGCGTGATTCTGATTGGCCAGAAGGTGTTGATGAATTTACTATGACTAATGATTAATCATTTTCTAAGCAAGGTTTATGGTAAATGTGTCATCATTGTTTTCTATGAGGAGATTTTTTATTTAGCATTTATGGAAGGAGTCTCCAGTGTCAGGACTTGGTAACAGTCAGGGTTATAGCTGTAGCTTATACAGGACAGAGGGATTTGCAGTTTCTCTGTAACATAGACTGTAATTTTCATCTTATTAACTTCAAGAGAGAGAAGAAAAAAGGGATTAATAGCTGCTGTAAGTGATAACTGGAACTAACTTGTTTTACAGATGTTCCACAACAAAATAATTACAAACTAATAAAAAGTACAGTGCTACTTTTTTTGCTAAATTATTTGTTCATGAATTAAAACTTTGTAATCGTAGGTTAAAGAGGAATAAAACTTCACGACATGCTGTTATTGGAAAATAATCAACTTTGGGGTGATAACTGCATAACTGCGCTTGGTGACAGTCGCCATTGTTGATTATTTTCCTATAGCAGCACACACCATTGTGTTTAATTCCTTGCTTAAACAAAGGATTATTTTACACTGATCATTTTAATGCCTTTAAATGGTCATTTTAATGCATTTTAATGTTTTTTAACATGTTATCTGGATGTAGTGCTCTGTGGTGTTGTGAAACAGGCTGTTTTGCTACAAGCGTGATAAAAATCAGCTCGTTCTCCCTCTGCAGAAATTCCGCAGGCGGGTTCAGGAATCCACCAAAGTTCTGAGGGAACTGGAGATATCGCTGAGGACCAATCACATCGGGTGACTTATCCTCTTTCTCTGCTCTCCTCATCTGCTGACCCTCCCCTGCAAAATCTGCATCTTATACTGATGGATATTGAGGGCAGGCTCTCTCGATCTGCCCGCTGGTGGTTTGATTGTAACAGGGCTTTAGGTGTTTCAGCACTGCCTCTAAAGGCTAACTACAGTCTCGACTGATGGGACTTTTCCACTTTTAACAATCTTTTTTTTTTTTTTCTCCCAGTATTTCCTGTAGTAAAGGGCTGGCTGGAGAATTGGCTGGCTGTTGGTCCTGCCAGTCTCTTTACAATGCACTGTGTGTGTGTGTGTGTGTGTGTGTGTGTGTGCGCAGATGGTTTTCATTGTACCCACCCTCCATCCATTTTCACCAGCAGGAAATGCTGTTGTGTATGCTGGAGAGTCAGGAAGCCCGAGCATCCAACAATGGAGTGTGTGAAAAGACACAAAACACACACATATGTGTACACACCCATGACTCACACTCGCCTAAAGACAAAAGAGTGCCACACTCCGCAAAATACAATGAAACTCACTGCAATGGCAATTTCATTCATATGCATAGTGAGCTTATAAAACTAAAGAAATGCTGGCTTATAACAGTTTGTCCAATTCTGAATATGGTTAATTACCATTATACAAAATGCTAGTCTATTTTTAGTTCATAATGAGCATAAACTTTAATGACTTGGCTAATTTTCTTTTTAATTCAGTTTGATTTGTATAGCGCTTTTAACAGTCGACATTGACACAAAGTAGATTAACAGAAATCCGGACGTACCAAACTCAAAGGAGAACCTTTTTTTTTATGGGTTAGTTCGGATAGTAGGATTCTAAATCATTACAGTGTACAGGTGGAGAAGAGTAAATGACAAACAGAACTGTGTGTTGAAAGGATGTTGAGTATGAGCAGACTGTGAATAAGTGTCCTGGGATGAGAACAGGAAAGTATTTATGATTACAGCAGCAGTTTTTAGGTACAAGTCTCTCCAGGTGAGATTATCATACATCATAATTTATTTATTTATTTTTTTGTTGGTGTGAGTGGGGGAGGGGGAGTACCGATCTTTAGGGTATCCATATGGATATCCACAACAGCAGAAAGTGAGTCACAAGTGCAGAAAGCTCCAAGCCACAGTGCGTTTGAATTTTCTTTAAAAGGATTTAAAATACAAGATGTGAGTACCTCCATTGTGGTCAGAGAGGGCCATTAATCATTCACATGATCTTTTTTTTCCTCATCAGTAAAAGTGAGTTTTAATGCATTTCCAACTGAGCTGGAAGAAAAGGCACCCAGGCTATTTTCAGACTTTTCTTGTGGCGGCGTAAAATGGAACAGAGGTTATTGCATGGGCCTGAAATCAGGCCCCTTTCTGACGTCTTGTTCCTCGCCTCACTGAACCAATCTGAAATAGCATCTGGCAGGAAAGAGAGGAGGGGGAAAGATGGGGGTGGCAGACAGGAAACTGATCAACTCGGCTCACCAACCTTTCAGTGCACAAAGTCTGTTGGTCCCACGTTCTCTACCTCTGTCTGTCTGTCTGTCTGTATTTCTCTCATTTGTGCTCTTTCTCTCGAGCCCTAGCTCACCAATGGCAAATTCAGCATTCATAGATCTCATCTGTACCTTTCAGAATCATTTCACTGTGACTCTGAACATGTTTTAGCATCGGGGAGGTAGACTAAATTCATCCGATGTCAAAGGATCAGCCTCCTCTCCTCGCTCTCCTCGCTCCTTGCTACAACCATATGCCCGCCACATTCCTTAGCTGAGTGCAGTGGGAATTCCTTCAGTGTTCCTTCAGGTCCCCTTCCCCCAACACCCCCCACCCGCCTCACAAAACTGCAGCTAAGCACTGGAAATCTTTGGACTTTTCATCCCATTCTCACCACGCCAGACATGGGGCAAAACTGTAGTTTTTAGTTTTCAAATATTATTACTCATTGATTTCTTTCGATTCTGTTTTTCTCTTTCGTTCTCATTTGCATGTACATTCTCAATTCCTCTCTTACATTCAACTGTTTGGACGTCTTCCTTCAGTGGACCTTGACTCCAAATCATGGACGGATCCAGCAATGTCTAGTTTTGCAGCCTTCACATGCCTGACTCATCGTCATAATTTACTGATGAAGTAAACTCGGATATACATTAGTTTATTGCAAATTCTCGTTCATATAGCTATATGCAGTAGGATATGATATTCTGTCTCTAGAATCATGGTGAGAGAATACAGGGGATATAGTGTATGGTACAGGGGTGGACAAAAGGGTCACTGGAGGACTAGTGGTTAGGCTTCTGCCTTCTCATCACTGTGGCCTGGGTTTGATTCCTGGCCAGGGAACCAACGCCAGCCACTGGGGTTGCACAAGACATTGCACTTCCAGTGCCGGTCCTAAGCCTGGATAAAATTGGGGAGGGTTGCATCAAGAAGGGCATCCGGTGTAAAAACTGTGCCAAATCAAATATGCGGACCAATGATCCGCTGTGGCGACCCGTAAAGGGAGCAGCTGAAAGAAGAACAACAACGGGGGTGGACAGAACAGTAGCCCAGACACTAAAGGGAAAGTAGATTTCGTGTCAATAATTTCATAATTTTTTTATTCATAGCTGACCGATGGTTCAACAGCTAGAGAAATAAAACGTATGCATATTTGGTATGCATATAGCTACGGTATGTTTAACTTTAACATGGTTCATGATGGTGCGGCACACCTAGATGCTGTAACTATAGTGCACTCTTACCCTTCTGAATCGCACCGCCTGCTGCACTATATACATCGCCTGAGATGATCTGCGTGACAGTAGAACTTTATTTTTAAAGAGTTATAGAGTTGTAGAGCCTAAAGCCTTGCCCTATTCAAAAAATCAATTCCTATAAACTCTCTGAAGTTAGTGTATCACCTCTTGTATCCTGCCATGCTGACCTGTGTGTGTCTGTGTGTGTGTGTTGGCAGGTGGGTGCGTGAGTTCCTGAATGATGAGAACAGAGGACTGGACATCCTGGTGGAGTACCTCTCCTTTGCCCAGTGCGCTGTCACGTAAGTCCACAGCCTACACACATATTATCAGGGTACATACACACACACAGAGAAGAACAAAGGTCCTCTTAGGACTTTTTGACATTAGGATGAATTCTGAACCTCGCATGTCCAGAATTTATCCACACTCCAGGTTTCCTCCTGAGCTGATAAGGATATTCACACTGTGAATTGCTTATGAGGGTGAGACATGGTTTTGCTGATAATAACTTGTTGCAGTAACGCGCGAGGCTTTGCTGAGCCCTGCTGAGCTGTAATACACTCAAATTGTCCTTAGCTGCTGCGCAAAATAACCCTGAGCCCTTCTTCAAATCTTACTGAGCTCTGTAGCTACTGCTCCTCAACCTTACCCCCATGCCCCCTGTATTTGTGCTTCTGTGCGTGTGATTGTGTTGTGTATGGTGTGTGTACGTGTGTGCACGGCTCAGGTTGGATTTTGATGGTCTGGAGAATGGGGAGGACGGCTCACTGGACAAAGCCAAGTCCTGGAGCAGGTCCATTGAGGATCTGCACCAGAACGGTTTCAGTACACTGGTGCGCTCAGTGCGTCACTCGGTCCCTCGGTAAGTATCGTAGGTAATGTAGACGTGACTGTGCTGCTCTGCTCACCTCCAGCTTCTTATTGCTGTCTCAAAAAAAAAAACAAACAGCTGGCTTCTATATTTGCTTGTGTGTGTCTCACCTGATAAAGCCTATGTAGAAACACAAACATGCTCTGCGAGAACACTGTGTTTTAGGTATATGCGTCTCTACTGACCTCCTGACTGGATCAGATTTTTATACATGGATCCTGGGTCACCTAAGAAAAGTAAAATCATGCAAAATAGAAAAAAAGTAATAAGGACAGAAAAATCATTATGGTGCATGCTGTTATAGGAAAATAATCAACCCATTACTACAACCTATAGCCATTACCACATGAACTTGATTCTTTTCCAATAACAAGTCATAATGAAGTTTTTAAAAAAATTCCCATTATATCATGGCAATTTGCCAAAAAAATTAAAATTTTCCATTGAATAAAGAATGATGTCATATTTTATATTCGTTTATAGTTTTTTTTTTATTGTCGTATGTCCGTGAAACAAATAGTTTCTATGATCACTTACATTATAACAGCTACAAACAATCATTCTCTCGTTTTTCTCTCTCTTGAAGTTCATAAGCCAAGAAAAATGCAGCTTGCCGTATTACCTAGAAACCGTATTATCCTGACACTGGAGACTCCTTCCAAAAATACTCCTCACAGAAAGCTTGACCATAGCAACATGGCTTGTATGCATTTTTTTAAAAAAAATCTGTTTATAAAGCATCTGCTATACAAGTCCCTGTGGATAATCTGTTACTATGGTAACGATAAAGTATTTGAACAAGTGCATTAATATAAAGCTGTGTTTTTTTTTTTTTAAATTATAGCTGATACGCTTGTCAGAACATTAGACAAATCAGCTTTGCCAAATTTAGCAGTGCTGTGGTATAAGTCAGAATAAAAAACATTATTATAGGTAGATAAATATTAATGCTAAAATGGTAAAATTATGCTGCACAATGTAGCACCACTGTTAATATTATAATATACTTAGTGGAAGTATATAATTATATGCTCATTAATATTTACATGCATTCACATACATTTATGTAGTTCAAATATTTCAATAGATTTTTAAAGAATTTGGCAGTCCAAGCATATAAAACAAAGTGATTTGGTACTTTTACATATCTGAGCATTGTTTTTCCCATCCCTACTGTGTTTGTACTGTCTTGTGTTTCGGTTGTCACAGAAACCGTGTTACAGTGAATGTAAGTATTGAGAAAACATTGATATCCTGTGTTCAGCGTACAGGAAACGTGATAACCTCACTCTATATTCAGAGATTTCGTCAGTCAAGCAGCACGGTACAGAAACCACATCACCACGTTACGGTGTGTCTCGCAGTGTGTGTGCATGTGTTGAGCAGGAGAGTGTGCTCAGCGTCTGGTGCGCTTTGTGATTTTTCGATATGTGACCCACATTGCTGAAACCGCTCATCCGGAGAGCAAGCATGCACGTAAAACAATGAACCGAAGCATCTGTTTTTAATGTAGCATATGTCTGGCATTCTTATTGATAAATAATCACGTTAGGGGTGTTGGAACTTGCTTGCACAGCCCTGCTTCATATCCGACTTTGCGTTGTTGATTGCAGGTATAATTCAGCAGCAAACAACAAAACCATCAAAAACTCCAGGATAGTGAGTCAGAAGGATGACGTGCACGTGTGCATCATGTGTCTCCGAGCAATCATGAACTATCAGGTACTTTACACAGTGAGCGTTTGCTGAAGGTTTGTGGATGAAACCATGTGACACTCTGTATCTCCCTCTAGTGGTTTTACAGCAATGTTAATACACGTCGACGCCCTGCACGTTTCACCGTTATTCTACACAGAGCAATGAATGCATACACTATTGTGTATATATGTGATATAAACCTGTTCTGTTTGAGTTTGTTACAAGTGCTTCTATGCAAATGTTAACCAAGCCCCTTGCTCTTATGCCAGTATTATGAATAGAGTGCAGCAAAATGACATAATTAAAGGTGCAATCAGTGAGGCTGGTACATGTCCATAAAATATCTGCTCAGAGGGAAAAAATGGTCTCTGTGGAGCCCCGGGATCAAAACAAATGATGTGCAAAATCTAACCAGGACAATAAAGCATGTCTGCTTGCCTGTCCATTCAGGGAGCCCCCACTTTTCCACTAGCATTCAGGTTTTCTAGCCTAGACAGAATATACAGTATGGACATGTTTTGGGATCATTGCTTTGGAGGAAATGCAAATTGAATTGAAAACGTTGAAACGTGTATTTGTTTGGGTTTTAAATTTCGAAACAGCTTGCTTCAGCTAACAAAATCACTGACTGAACCTTTAAAGGAGCACCAGATAAATACATACAGTTATGGACTGGGATTAGAGGTGTGCTTTGCTAATTTTTGTCAGTTAAGTGAGTTAATTATAAAGGACAATCGTGTGCATGATTGAGTCCTCAGGATTGAAAATGACAACCAGTTAAGGAATAATTGGGGTTTATCATAAACTATAAAGGGTAGAGCTGTGTGTTCTGCATCCTAAGCCGTAACTGTAATTAGCTCAAATCTAGTCATTTTCAGTAAACTTAAATATGTAATATTCTCTTTTCTGTCCTCAGTACGGTTTCAACATGGTCATGTCCCATGCGCATGCGGTTAATGAGATCGCCCTGAGCCTGAACAATAAGAACTCGCGGTGAGTAAAGCCCTTCATTAACACCTCCGGTACAGAAGGTTGAATTATCTGCTGGGAAAGTTTGCAGGACAAAACTGG